TAGATAAATAATAATAATATTAAAAAAAAAAACAAAGTATTTAGTAATATGTGTATATGGCAGATATATTCAACTTACTGGAGGCGCCTCGCGGCAAGGACTTTGTGAGAGTCTCCAGCTCTTGAACTTTGGACTCCAACATGGACTGTCGGTTGCGGGAGTCCTGCTGTGCTCGTCGCAGCGTCGATACCTACAATGTGATAATGCACACATTTAACGTGCCACTTAATATATTTTAAAACAATATGATCTTAACTTGAAATAAATGTTTACCTCTTCGACGACTTGTCGCCGAGCCTCCGCCAGCTGATCCCTTTCTTGTCGCACTTGTGCCAGCTCGGCCTCTAATGTCGCCAGCTTCGCGATTGCGTCTCTTTCCAGCGTCGCTAGTCTCTCGTGCGCCTGGAAATGTTTATAATTATAAAGAGACCATAGACAAAGAACAAAAGACCGAGACGTCACAATCTCGAGATAGTATGTGTAAAGAAAATAACTTACATGTCCCAGTTCGTCTTCAAGTTCGTTGACTTTCTCTAACGCTGCTGTTTTGGTCTCGCTGTCCTCCATCAGCGCGGCCACATCGAATACATTGTCCAGATACGCAGATATTTGTACCTGACCAATATTTCACAGATTAAATAATTCCGCGGACATAATGTGAAACTAAATATATTTTGTAAAACAGCGCCATCTAGCGACAAATACCTGCAAGTCCTCGCTCTCGCAGAAGCGCAGGCGTTCCAGGTAGTCGTCCAGCTTGAGCGAGGTGAACTCATACTGCAGATGCACGCGGAAGTTCATGTCCTCCACTGAGTGCACTATTATGTTCACAAACTGCATACATGCCACCTGCATACAACATACAACTGTCATATTAACAGTGGTAGACGCCAACAAGATCTGTTGCCACCACACAGAAGAAGGTGTCAACTGGAAGCAATCCCGTCTATCGTCTGATGAGTGTTATGGAGACCTCATTTTAGCCTACTTTCAATTTCCACCCTTATATTATAAAAAAATGAAGGGAGGGGGAAGTAGATTTTTGTAATGTTCGTTAAGCAATTTAAATTCTATATGTGAAAATATTTTATCGCCACTTAATAATTTGTGAGTGATTCACTTTCAAAATAGTAATTATTTGCTCAAATGGTACAGTAATAATATTGGTTTAAGGCACATGAGTCAAACGAACAGAAACAGGAAGCATTTCTTTGTATTCACCTTAACTCAAGCAAATGCCACATAAAATCTAACTCACCATAAACTCAATATGAAACGTATCGTAGTTCATAAAGTATTCCATGAGGGTATGAAAGCGGTGCGGCTCGCCCACCACCTCCTTGAAGTTATCAAAGGCGCCGAGGATGATCTGGTGTCCTCCCTTCACCAGGCAGATGGCGGCCAGTAGCTCCAGCACCAGTGCCTTGGTGCGCAGGGACTGGTGCACCAGAGATAGAGCTATGCTGTTGATGGCCTCGCGGTGCTGGATCACCATGTTGAACCCGTACTAATAAACAAAACAAAGACTATTGAGGTATGGACTAAGACTTTTGGTGGCAAAGGTCTAATTTTAGTCCTCTTTCTCTTGGAAAAGGATGGGATGGGGATAGGGATTGATGGAGGAGGGGTCGCGTAAGAAAGGGAAATATTCTCTTTGTGTGGGCCCCATCGTCCGTTGATTAATGGTAGGCAACGTATGTATAATTGCGGATGCTTTTGGGCAACGAACACTTCGGTATTTCATAGATTTTCAATGAAAATGTTTATCCAATCCGCAGAGAACGCCTTTGTAAATGAAATAGTTCGATAAAATGTTTTTGGAAAGCTTTTTATTTTATTCCAGAACATTCTAGCTGGTTACGTGATGTCTATCGTGCCTACCTTGTTGTTCATAATGGCGCGCATGCACATAATGCAGACGTGTATATCGTCAGTGGAGGCGCCCATGTTGAGGCGGGCGGCGTGTCGCGTGCGGCGGCGCGCGGCGTCCGGGCTGGCGCGCTCCCCCTCCCCGTCCGCGGAGCGCGCGCGCCGCACCCACGTGCCGCTCAGCCCGCCGCCCAGTGCCCCGCCCACCTCCGTCGGACCGCTGCACTCTGATGTCGTTGTGTTCGCTGAAAACAAATACACGACGTTCTGTCTTTTAGCCGACCCCATTCTTAGTACCATCACCTATCCTATAAGTATAATATCAATACCCAAAACCGAAATGCCTCTTGCAGCCTGCAGCCTAATAGTTAAAGGTACGGAACACGTGGTCGTTGGTTCCAATCCAATAGACTATTGTTGTGACCTAGTCAAATTTGTCATAGATGTAGACCATAGTATGGAAGAACACATACATTATTAAGTAAGTTTTTTTTATACCGCGCGATCGGAATCGCGGGCGACACCTAGCGAAATATAAATTTAAAATATTTCCAGTAGGGCACATACCTTGGTTGATGCCGTCAGTAGACTGACTGCGAGCGAGGGCGACGCGCTGCTCATGCCGCATCATGCTCAGCCTGAAGCTGAGGTAGTCGATCAGCACGTCTAAACCCTGGTTCTGCTCGTTCAGGAATTCACGCACCCATCTGACACACGATATAAACACATTGATATCAAAATATTACGACTGAAACAACTGAGAATAAGAACTCTAAAAGACAGTTTAACAAACTTGCTTCTTACTAATATTATAAATGCGAATGTTTAAATAAATGGATGGATAGAAGTATGTTTCTTTGAAGGTATCTCCAGAACGGCTAAACGGTTCTCGATTAAATTTGACTTATAACACATAGTCCGGAAATGCTTTCATTATTATGTATATAATTATGTATTCACATAGACTACTAATTAAGACTTCATTTTAACTCCGTGCGGACGGAGTCGCGGGCTACAGCTATTATTTTATAAAGTATACTCACTCAATGTGATTGGTCCGTAATGAGATCTCCAAATCCCTGAGCACCTGAGTGGATGTTGAATCGCCGACCATTTTTCTTTTCTGGAATAAAAAAATCATAAATCATTAAATACTGGCCATTAAGAAACAGGGAGTATAAAGAAAAGTTTGTTTTTTTTTTGCTAAAAAAAAAATGCTATCGCCTGACTCCCGATCGCATTTTGCTTTGCCTGATTATTTAACCATCTCACGCGATTTTACTCACGCCGTTGTCAGTTTTTTGATTGGCATCGGTTTTGATTATATAGTCTGTTACGATGAGAACACGATTTGGGAAAATGATAATTGGTAGAAAAAAGTTTCTGGTTATTATTCAAAATGCAATGAAAATTGGTAGAACAACCCGCAAG